TATTGATCAAATTGTTTCTAAGTTAGAAAAATACAAAAAGACGTGACTTCGTTCGAATTTTGCATTGTGTCATTTAAAATTACATAGTTTAAAATGATACATGAGTTAATGTGCCTTGGTATTCAGAATTTTTTCAACCATTATTAAACAAATTAGTATAAATTAGGAAATAATTTTAAAAAGATTACATTGTATTTCCTTTAGTTAAACAAATTTTATAATAATGAATAAAAAAATTTTAATTCGTTTAATTATTTTTTTTTTACATTGAATACGCAAAAAGTAAAATTAACATGCCTAAATAGTATTAGAAGGAAATTCAAATAACCCAAATTCATCGAACAAAAGATCGGTTTAGTCAAAGAATATGACTTATTATAGATAGCATTTAAAACTTGACAATCCGATCAATAGAACAAAATTTTTTCAACAGTCTTTTTTCCCCTCCTAAGTGTAAACATGATATTTCTAAGCTTAAAAGCAATTTATAGACTTCAAAAAATTGTTTACTTGTATCAGCAAGAATTAGTAGCATGAGTAGCATACGTTGTAGTTCATTTATGTCGCACTAGAGCTGCACAATGGCCTATTGGCGACGGCTTGGGGAGCATCCCTGAGGATGATCCGAAGACATTCCATCACAATTTTGATCCTCTGCAGAGGGGATGACATCCCCGCTTCGGTAGCCCGACGACCTGCACGCGAATTCAAGCACTTTACGGTAGAACAGTTTAGCGAGGACCCATACCGCACACCCTCGGTCCCTACGCAGACTGATCCTAGTGGTCACCCACCTGCACACACTGACTGCAGCCAGTGATGCTTGACTTCGGTGATCTGATGGGAACCATGTCTCAACGATCAGTCCACTGCCGGACGTGAGTACCATACGATAAGTTTTGTAACGTATATGTGAAATCATGGTAAGTCTCAATTTCTGTGTTTTCTTAGTCTGAAAAATAAAAGAGCTGTAAAGAAGTCATAAAATTTAGCTCCTATAAAACCAAATGTCGTTCTATAGACTTAAATTTAAATATTAATTCCAATCATAAATTAATATTAGCACTTAAATTTCGTTTCGTTAAAATTATTTTGCGTCCGAAGTAAATCATTAAATGCTTTTTTTTATTTCACTCCTAAGAAAATGATTATTCTGCAATTATATTGTTAAAATACATTTAGGGAGTCTTAAATTTCTTAATAAAAAATAGCCTTTCTAAAGTTTAAATAAATAAAAAAAAAATTTTTTTTAAAAAATATAAAATTATTGATAGTCCACTGCTAGCCCCCCCCCTCTTGTGGTTCTACTTCTGTGTCTTAACAACCTATTATTAATAAAACTACCACCTAATATTTTAAACATGCTATATCGGAACAGCCTGTTATTTTTATCACAGGCTAGTATTTTGGAACAGGCGATATTTTGTCACAGGCTAGTATTTTGGAACAGGAGATATTTTTTCACAGCTAGTATTTTGGAACAGGCGATATTTTGTCACAGGCTAGTATTTTGGAACAGGCGATATTTTTTTAACAGCTAGTATTTTGGAACAGGTGATATTTTTTCACAGCTAGTATTTTGGAACAGGCGATATTTTGTCGCAGCCTAGTATTTTGGAACAGATGGTATTTTGTCACAGCCTTTCCTACTATTTTGCAGTTTAAGCTAATTTGCAGCAATGCCGGACACGGTGACCTGTCTTCCATGCCCATTGGGTTTTCAGGCATATGGGGGGGGGGGGCAGGTTGTTTATAATTGCATTTTCCATATTTTCTATTTCCATGATTCCTACAAGTTAAATAGAAAAAAAAATTACGAAATTTTCCTACAAAATATGAGTCTTATTGTCTAATTTTTTCTCTCCTAAGTCTTACACTCTCTCTTTCTCATTTTTTTTAAAGCAATAAATATTTCTACTTTTTATTTCAATATAAAAAGGGATTGTTAAAATTATTAAAACTATATTTAGTATGTTCTAGATATGTAAGTATGTTCTATTCAAGCTATATTTAAACTCTATATTTTCTTTATATGCAAGCTATATTATCAAACACTATATTTTTTCTCCCTATCTTTAATCCTTTTGCACACCGTATACTTTAATATTAACTTATGTATATATAAATACGAAATCATATAAGCTACATAGTACAATAGTTTTATACAATTTCTGAAATCTAGTTATCCTAAAAAATCTAGTCATTAATTATTAAGATATAAAAATTGTAAGTTTTAGAGTTCTGACTTGCGATGTTTATGCAAATGACGAAGCATAAAGGGCAGTACAATAGTACAGAGAGAGGATGAAGAGTAGTAGAATAATAAGCAAATAATTTTTTTCCGTGTTAATCTATCAAATGATATTTTGTGAATGATAAAATAACTGTTATTTATTTTATCTACTGAAATAGAAACGTAAATGAAACAAATGAGAGGAAAAAAAGGAGAAATAATTCCTAACCTTTAGCCAAAGGAAGCCTACAGTTAGCGATTAAGAGCTCTAAAACTAATCACATCGCTATTATTTTTATTAGGAACCTATTTAGGAAGTTAAGTAATGAAGTTTTAGGTAATTAAATTTATATATTTTATACATTTAATAAAAAATTCAGGATATTTTGCTTGAAATAATGAATTGTTTACAATAGAGTAACTATGGCCTGCATTTACTTGAAAATGCTCCACATTTTTTATTGGCTCTTTTTGCTGCCTACTGTGTTTACTGTATTAATTACAATCGTCTTTTGGGGGACATCTAACCAAGGAGTTTTACTTGGAGAATCCAGACACCTCTTTACGCTATTGGCCCCCCACCTCCCTAGCTTTCACTGCGGGTTTCTTTTTCGGCTTTCGTTTTCGAGGTCGACCGTGACCTTCGAGGTTGCGAATTGACTATATCAATATCTTTAAATGAAGGCGTGTCCTTTACTTCCCTCGTAAATATTTCTTGTGGTAATTCGACCAATGTTCTACGGGAAGAGTGATTTGTTATTTCGCTGAATTTCGTCCACTTACATACAAATAGATGTCTCTCTGGCATTGCGTATTACTTTGTTGCGTAAAAGATTTATTTATTTTGAAATTTTGAAGAAAATAAATAACATATTTTTAAATGATAATATTCTGCAGGAAAGGAAAAAATCTATTGCTGTTAATTTGGCGAATTTTTGTCCCTTAATGGTTTGAATATTATTTGACATAAAAATTATCATTAAGGGGTACATAGTATGTGATATTTTTAAATTAATGTGCTAATTGTTTTAAAATGAAAATATTATTTAAATAATTCAGGAAAAGTTTAGAATTGTTATAAAAAGGCTTGTTTCTTTAAAAATTATGCTAAATTCGTATACTGGTGTTTATTTTGAACATTAAATTTTTTTTTAGAAATGTTTAAAAAAATATCGGATTATGTTTTAGTTGTATTTAATTTGTTAAATGCTTTAGCTCATGCCAATTGGTAAAGCTGAATCAATTGCATTTTAGTAAACATATATTTTTTTTAGTTTGAAACTATAAAATGATGTTATTCGAATTATTTAAAAAGTTGCGTTGAACTAGGTTGCAGTGTATGCTGTTAGACTACTATTAGGTATTTAAGTAAATGAAATTATAAATCACTATCAGTAAAATTTACCAAATTTATTATGTCAGAAAATATAAATAATTTTACGAAAGTGGTGTTGTTAAAATGAAGTGATTAGTTAACCAAGGGATCATAATAATAATCATAAAACAAATCTTTGGGGAATTGTAGTTAGGGGGTTAAACGAAGGAGAGAATATATTTACATTGAGCGAATACCTTCAGATCTGGAAAAACGATCTGTTTCGCAAAATGAAACGACGATGGTTGCGAAGTAATCATGGGGGCTGGTGAGCGGCAGCAAATAGGGGCCCCAGCCAAAATTGTAAGAGTTTAAAAAAAATAGTAATTTAAACACAACTTTGTTTACTAGATATTCGATTTAACAAATGATTTAAAATTAATCAGCTTTAATTATATATTTAAACTTACAAATTTTATTATGCAACTAGAACCTCTATATAAGAACAAAACTTCCCGGCTTTCTACTTAACGTAATTTGTATCAAATAAACATCTTGTTTAGAGCAGAAAGTTTTTGTATTACCTATTTCGTGAAAAAGCTTACACAGTAAAAGAATTTAAGCTTATATTTAATATAATTTTTGTCAACTTAAAATTCTAGAAGACGAATATTAAGAAAAAACATAATTGGAAATGTTTAGGTTCTCCTGGATCTAAGCTTTTAAAGCATTTGTGATAAATCCTACACAGTGTGTCACGGTTGATTTATAATTTTTTTATTAGAATTCTTTGAGAACAAGAAGCAGAGCATTTGGCTACATAATGTATAAAAAGGTATAGGATTTATATTTTGTAGATTAGACTTTTAAAGCAAATATGTTTTATATTTCTTTTGTCATGTTTGAGCATGTAAAAAGAAAATGTGTACTTTTTTGTGAGTAAATTTTTTGTGAGTCAAACGATGTTTTCTGAAAATTTGATGAAATAAATGTAACGAAAACTAAAAGCTAATATTTTGAATGATAAAAAAAGCCCCAGTAAATCTCAGTTTAATTCATAAAAGTAAATATTTTACTGAAAAAAAAAACGATACTGAATTGAACTAGTACAACACACTTTTGAATTATGCTACAACACTTGTCTTTAAGAAATACAGATATTTAGATATTCGATTAGGAATTTACAGAAAAATGTCTCAACACTATTTTTTCAAAATCTGCAGCAGATAAAAATAAAGGACTTCATAATCTTCTCTAAAATTGACTGAAGTTTTAAACATCATCAGGCAAATGACATGTTAAAAGTTTGATTAATTGCTTTTTTTATTATTTTTTAAATTAAGTTTTAAAAACTAATTGTGAAGGATAACTATTTATTTAAGCACTATTATTATTCAATGAATGAGTTTTGCTTGTTGCTAACTTTAAAATATGTTGAAAATTTGTTCCAGCTTTTAGTTTATTTTTCAATTAGCCACATTAAGATTAACATCTAATGCTTATAAAATTCCTCAGTTCATATTCTAGAACTTATGAATCAGTTAAAATTGGAATGAGTAGAAATTTATTTATTTTAAACTTCCGACTAAAACGCATTTACGCACTAAATGTTACGAAATAAATAGTGCTATAAACTATGTCACATAAAAAAGAGCCGACAGAAATAAGTAAAATAGAGAGTGAGAGGTTTGAGACGCCTTTATAAGGGAGTGGGGGGCGGTCTAAGTGTAAAAAGGATATATATATTTGAAACGGAACACCACCCTCTTCTAAATTTCTATGACCAGTGAGGGTTTTCTGATAATCATTTGAGCCTCAAGTTTGAAACAGAACGCATGCTTTCATTACCTTCGATTTTTGTTATTTAATTCTTAAGTTAGTTGTTTATATTTGAATCTTTTCTCTGAAATTTTATTTTTTACATTATATTTTATACAGTTTGATTTACGTTATTTCACTCATGAACAGAAAATCTAGTCAAGCGTGGAATTTTTTCACGCGACTCGATCGTGAAAGTAAATTAGCGAAATGTAAGCTTTGTGGCACGAAATTATCTTATAAAAGTTCAGTAACAAATTTGAGTAAACATATTTTGCGTAAACACCCATCAATAAATCTTTCCCGGCGTGAAGAGCGAAATATTCCGCCCGTTTCTACTGCAACCTGTGCTGCTGGATCTAGCCATTCGAATGATGAACCAGACATTTCTCCAATTATTGATGAACCAGACGAACCGGCAGTCATCGTTCAACCATCAAGTTCCCTCCATCAACCATCAAGTTCCCTCCGTCAACCATCAAGTTCCCTCCATCAACATTTAATTCAAGAATTTTTATCGAAAAAGGTAACCATTTCAGATAAAAAGAAAATAGATGAAGCATTCATAAAACTATTCACACAAGATTTCCAACCCTTTTCAATAGTAGAAGACGAAGGATTTAAGAGTTTTGTGAAGGCTCTTAACCCCAACTATAATTTGCCTAATCGAAAAACTATTTCTGGGACTTGGCTCCCTGCAAAATTTGAAGAATGTTCATATATCATTCATGAGAAAATGAAGGATGTGGATAGCATGTGTCTAACTATCGATTCTTGGACATCGAGGAATAATGAGAGTTATTTGGCCGTCACTGGACACTTTATTGATATTGATTTCGATTTAAAAACTGTACTTTTGGGTTGCAAGAAATATGATGACTCTCATACAGCTTCGCATCTGGCCATGAGAATAAAGGATTTAACTGATGCATTTAATGTATCAAATAAAATTTTAGTTTGTGTTACAGACAATGCAACAAATATGAAAAACGCTGTAACAGTTGAATTAAAACTAAAACATTTCCCTTGTTTAGCTCATACGCTAAACCTTATTGTACGTGATGCGTTGAAACTACTTCATGAATTAATAGAGAAAATTAAAAGTGTCGTAGCCTTTTTTAAACGGAGCACAACATGCAATGAAAAGTTGCTAAATTATCAAAAAAATAATGGAATTGAGCAACCAAAAAAATTGATTCAAGATGTTGTCACTAGATGGAACTCTACATTTTATATGTTAGAGAGATACGTACTTCTGAAAGATGCCATTAAAACTACAATAGTCCTTATAAACAAAGATTTGCCGATCTTATCGGAAAACGAATGGCTTATTTGTGAAGAAGTTGTTGAAGTTTTGAGGCCATTCGAAGAGATAACAAGAGAACTAAGCGGCGAAAAATATGTCACGGCAAGTAAAATACCAGTAATAGTAAAAGGATTAATATCTGTGTGTAACAAATTATCGATGAAATCTATTCAGCCAATAACACAAGATATTCTTAAACATTTAAATACCGGATTAACTTCTAGACTCGGAAGAGTACAACTTAATGAAACAGTAACCATCTGTTCAATATTGGATCCAAGATATAAAACATTAGCTTTGGAGACAACTAGTGCCGAATTTATGAAAAAACGTCTTATTGAATTTGTTGCATCTGAAGTTAAAAAAAAGATGTTAAGCCAAGAAATAAACATGCCACCTAGTGAATTATCTGCCCAAGAACCGTCTAAGAGAATGTCTGCATGGGACGATTTCGATTCTATAGTGTCAACGCAAAAACCCCAAGGTAAGTTTAAAAAATTAGTTACTTGAAATTTTTTTTATATTCTTAAGATATTCAACAGTAGTTACGCAGTAATTAAATTAAAATAAAATCTCAATAAGTTGACCATTAATTGTAGTTCTTTAAATCCGGCTATTAAAGAATTTTTTTTTCAGTTACATAATTTTTTTTTCCAAATGTATTGATAGTCATTTAATAGTATTCAAGATTTTATACTTTCTTAAATTTGTAATTAATAAAATACCCTTAATATTATAATTTTTGCGTAAATTTCTTATGTTTTTACAATTTCTTATTTAAAAATTTCTGAAAGCTCCTTAGCACTCCTTGTCTTCAAGTTCAGTCATAATAAGTTTACTTTAATTATTTTATTGAATCAAACCGATGAAGTTCTTATAATTTTAGGAACGGCTCTCTCAGCAGCGACAGTAGAAGTGAACAGGTACCTAGATGCCAGTTATTTGCCTAGAACAATGAATCCATTACTTTGGTGGAAAGAAAATTATCATTTATTCCCAACAATTGCAAAAATTGCAAAAACAAAGCTTTGCATGGTAGCTACGTCAGTTCCTTGTGAACGCATTTTTTCAAAAGCTGGATATGTAGTAAATGACAGACGAGCTCGCCTTAATAGTAAACATGTAGAAAGAATTTTATTTGTAAATGCCAATTCGCACTTTCTGTAATTGCATGCAATTTATTCACAAGTTATATCCTGCTCCATAATATATCATATATTATTTGAATTTATAAACATTATTTTGCTTACAAGGAACTTATCGTATTTTTTCTACAATTTTATATATAAATTATTTTGCCTCCATATAAAATAACTGATAGTGTACTTTATTTTGTAAAACAAAGCAGGCCGGTTATATTTTCATATACACATTGTTATTAGTACTTTTTGCAGTTTTTCTTTTAAAGCAACTAATAGCATAATCAACTGCAAAATTAAATAAATTTGTGTTTTTCTCTTCTTTTTTTTAAAATTCTATCGGCGAATTTTCTTATTTGTAAGCACCTGGAAAAAAAATTATTTTTTCGCACATACAAATTTGCACTTTCAGTAACTGCATGAAATTCATTCAGATTTTATTTCATGCACTACAGCATTGCATATTTTATTTAAAATTGTTTAAATTTTATTTGCCTAACGATGTAATGTAAAGATTAAGTTCTGTTTTGTTTCTTTTTAAAAAGGAGAGAATGCTGGTTATGTTATGTAGCTGGTTATGTCTATATTAGCTGGTTCTGTATATAATGTGTAACTTCAATTAAGAAGTTACACATTATATAGAGAATATAATGTGTAACTTCTTAATTGATTTGATTTAAAAATAATGTTATGCAATGTTGTGTTTTAAATTCAGAGATTAAATTTTTGGAATTTCTAATTTGTCCAAATCTGTATTTTTAAGTTCTATTTATTTATTATTTTTGTGAAATAAAAAAAATGTTGGCTATATTTTCTCATACAGAGGAGAATGTAATAATCTCTAAATTGTTTTGATTTAGAAATTATGATATGCAATGTCGTGTTTAAATTCAGTGATTAATTTTTTTTCAGTTTCTAATTTGTCTATATCTGTATTTTAAGTTCTATTTCTCTTTTCTTTTGTAAAAAGAAAAAAAAAATGTTGGCTATATTTTCTCATATAGAGAATGTAATGTCTGACTTTTAAATTGTTTTGATTTAACAATAATGTTATGCAATGTTGTGTTTTAAATTCAGAATTTAAATTTTTTGAATTTCTGATTTGTTTAAATCTGTATTTTAAGTTCTATTAATTTTTTCTTTTTGTAAAATAAAAAAAGTTTGGCTATATTTTCTCATATAGAGAATGTAATGCCTGACTTTTAAATTGTTTTGATTTAAAAATTATGATACGCAATGTTGTGTTTAAATTCAGAGATTAAAATGTTTTGAATTTCTGATTTGTCTATAAATCTGTATTTAAGTTCTATTTATTTTATCTTTATGTAAAAAGAAAAAAATGTTGGCTATATTTTCTCATAAAGAGAATTTTATGTCTAATCTCTAAATTGTTTTCATTTAAAAATAATGCTACGCAATGATGTGCTTAAATTCAGAAATTTAATTTTTTTCAAATTTCTGCTTTGTCTGTATCTGTATTTTAAGTTCTCTTTCTTTTTTCGTTTTGTAAAATGATAAAAAATGTTGGCTATATTTTCTCATGTAGAGAATGTAATATCTGACTTCTTAATTGTTTTGATTTAATTATAATGTTATGCAATGCTGCTTTTTAAATTCAGATATTAAATTTTTTTAATTTCTAATTTATCTCAATATTTACGAAGTATTTTATTAATTTAGACAATTTTATTCCATTTTTTTTCCTCTTTGTGGAAGTGAAAATATTCTGGTTATTTCGTCAAAAGAATGTAATAGAGAACTCCTAAATTCCTTTTTTATTTAGAAACAATAACTTTTGAACATTGCAATAACTTTTTTAGTTCTCTAAGCTTTCTAAATTATTTAATGATTGTTAAAAAAAATGCAAATTTTGCAAAATAATTTTTTCTCTGTCACTTATTTCTCCTAACAATGCATTGGAAAAAGGTTATATTTCGTAAAGAAAACTATTATTTCTATTATTATTCATTATATTTGATTACACTAACAAAATTGTTTTGAAATGGTTTCGAATATAAGAAATTAATTCTGAATTATATCTTTTGAACTGCCTGCTCTTCTAAAATTTAATCATAAAAAGAGAAAATTATCTATACATAAAAAAGGATGTAACATAGTTTTTTTTTCCTGAACTTAAACAATAGAGAATAAAAGAGAAATTAATATATAATTGCTTTCATATTGTTTAAAAATTAACTAGAAAAAACCTTCACTATATTTTCTTAACCATAGAAAAAAAATACTTTTCCTAATAATATTGTCAAATTAATAGAAAATTATGTATCTGTTACAAAAATACTTACCATTTTAAACTATCTTTCAAGTATAAAAAAGTAGGAAGATTTTTTTCTAAGATCTGTTATTTTGGAACAGGTATTTGGAACAGGTATTATTTTGTATCGTAACAGCTGGAACCTGTTATTTGAAAATACCTGTTATTGCCCATCACTAATATATATATATATTTTTGAGTCAGATTGTTTTTCGTTTATTGTTTTACAACAACCACTCTGAAAATACATTCTCGGAAAGAGTGTAAGTTGGCAGGTATGCATTTGCTCAAAACAACTAATTCCATTTCGTTTGCTAAATTCTGTATCTCCTTAAATGTGGTCTTGTTATAAATAATGTTCGCCAAATAACCTTAAAAAACCCTCCCAGGACTTTTCGATTAAACCACGTAAAAAATCGGGCGGTTTTCGAGATAGGTTTTTTTTTCCTTCTAAATTTACTGTACTAAACCAAGACGTTTTACTTCAAAAGTTAAATAATTGTAAATTATTATCGTTTAAACACAGAGCTCCTAACAATTGAACATGAATGAATTTAACAATTCAGCTTTAGTATTACATAATTTAGTTAAATTAACTTTATATATGAATTGAAATGCATTCAATTTGTTGAATTAATTTAACAATTTAGCTTTAAGTATTACATAATTTAGTTAAATTAACTTTATATATGAATTGAAATGCATTCAATTTGTTTTAAAAGTATACTAATGCGCCTTTAATTAAGATGGGGAAGTAAAGAATCTGTTCTTATGAAGAATACATTGTTGTTTGAGGCTTGTAAAACCCTACGAATATTTTTTAATTTATATAAAATTATTATTGTATATTTAATAATCAAATTTTCGTTACAATTACTTAAATTTTTTATGTCATATAAATGTTACATTTTTTCGAATATCTTGGCAGAATGCAGTGACGTAAACTATGTTTAAAATCAATTTATGAAAAACTAGCAGTTTTTCAGAAATAATGTTATTTGTGTAACTTGAAAAAATTTTNTTTTTTTTTGGTCTTAAATATGAGACCCTATAGTGCGCTATGCCGGTTAAATGATAGAGCCTTGAAAAACAGGGCTAAGTGCTTGGTCTGATTGAGAGGATATAATTGTCGACCTTTTAATTTGATACGAATCTCGGTCTATTTTTTTAAATTTCTAGATTATAAAATTCTATTAAAATTAATAGATACTACTATGTATATTTCTAATCAACATTAAACTTAAATATGTGTATTAAGGTTTCAGTATGGTTTCAAAACTTTGTTGAGGGGTAAAAGAATAAAACAGAATGTTAAATTGTTTGCAAAATAATATAGCAAATTTTTAAAATCATTATTTTCATCAGTTTTGTTGGTTACAATTTATCAGTCATCGAGAAGTATTTCTCCTAAAATGTTCTTTTTTTTGGATATCATTTACAGATGCATTTTTGCTGTAAATGATAATGATGTCAAAAAGGTGGATAATTGGCACGGCTGTAAAATGCGCAAAAGGTATTTTTGTCATCCGCATTTTGATTGATTTTTAGGAGCCTCATTTTGTCCTGTTGCTCATCCTGCCATATTGGCCGAATATAGACATAGAGACCAGTGAAGGATGAATAAAAATACAAACTTTCCGCATGCTTCTAAAATTAATATTTTTATTCTAAATTAGTGGGAGACTAAAATTTATTATGTTAAAATTTAAAAGTGTTGATAGCATATTTTAAAATTGGAACTAGTTTTTAATGAAGCACAATTTGTTTCAGGGGAAATAGGGGAAAGAAGGGTCAATTTTTTAAACAGTCTTCGTTACTTTTTTTGCCTTTCCGATTATTGCATTTACTCTCCAATTTCTTCCCATACTAGTGCCCTAAATTAATGTTCTTCTTTTTCCAAATATTTACTGAAGAGAGAGACTTAAGTGGCAATGAGAATTGTCTAAAAATACTTGATCAGAAAATATGTTATAAACTATCTGTTAGTTGGAAAACTTACCAATAGTACAATTTTAATACTATACCGAACGGAAAAGTGGTCATTCTTGCTCTCTTGCAATACCCAAAAAAGCGGAATTGGAAGTCTTTCGAATCTTAAGACTTTTATCTTAGGTATTAAAATTATTCGGTAATAGATTATTTTTCATCGTCAGTGACGATATATATCTCATATTGTATTAGTTAATTATATTTTTTTAACATTGTTGTAATGTAAGTGTTATAAATATTACATTAACCATTTAATTCATTAATATAAAGGCGTAATTACGATTAATATAAAGGCGTAATTACGATTAATATAAAGACGTAATTTAAGATTAATATAAAGGCGTAATTATGATTAATTTAAAAGCTTGCGTATGTTTATATATAATGGCGTGAATTACAAAAAATTAAAAAACATTTATACTTTAGTCATTAAGTGTCATCTATTGATAGTAAACGAAAAATTCTTCCCTTTTTATTTAAATTTTTTCTAATTAAGCGTTTGATTAATGAGTAGATAAAACGATTTTCTTTTTTTTAAATTATAAAACTATTGATTTTAAGATGGCGCAAAATTAAAATTTAAGGTGAATAGAAACTCAAAAATCACTTAGTAAACTTTTACTAATTACAGCTCTCTTCTTGCTGATCTTGTAAAAAAAGCAATCTACAGGGGACATTTTCTTTCATTATTTAAGGGAAAACATAAAAAAAGTGATGCCAAAAACTTTAATAAATGTCTAATGGATGAGAAATGCTTAGAACGTGTTGAAGAAATCCAATATAAGGGTCCATCGATTTATAGTTCATTGTATTCGAAAAGCTCTGGGCATAACTCATTCTCCAAAGTTCTCTCTCTTCATAAGAGCATTTTACTTGTCAGGTAAAAATTAATATGAGCTGTCATAATCGGAAATAATTACGATTTAATATATAAAATAAATCCTTTTTAAAACTCATATGTTAATAAAAGTTTTTAATTTTCGGATATTTTTTTACATTGGAACTTTAAAATGAATAAAAAATTATAATATTTTTTAAATCATTTCATTCATTCATTATGTGTTATCATTATTTTTTTAGTTGTTAGATTTATTTTTAATCAAGGCAGTGAGCCATCGTTTTGAAGGTCTGGTTTTCAAACCCAGTTGGTGACTTGAAGTCTGCTTAAGCTTGAAGGGTACCAGTTTGTATGATAAGTAAAGGTGGCTGATGCACAATTCCATAAACATGCAAGAGTCTCGAAATAGGGAATCATTAACCTCTATAATTCTTCTGACAGGAAAATTGTTTTAAATTTTTACGTGTAAGTTTAATTCATTAGCATATG